TTGACCTTCAGGTCGATATGGGAGTTGGACAGGAATGTTTAATGGGGTTCAGTCGACAAAGCATTTTAAAAAAATATGAACGAGACGTGAATCTATAAGGACTCTGGTTTTGGTGAACATGAAATAGAGACTTCTGTCACCACTGGGGCCAATGTAAGGTCAAATGGCATGGTTAGTCTCAGGGATACTGTTGCTTAGGAATAGGAGTCAGTCAAATCCCACGGTCATTCATACGTATTGCTGNNNTTTGATCTGAGACTACAGTGAAGGCTGCCTTGACAGAAAACTTCCATCGTTGGAGAACTCATCTGTCGAAGTGTCTGCACGAAGGGTCGCAAGAATTCAGGATGAAGGGTTCTGCCGATATTCATATGCTGTCTCCTCGGAACTTCGAAACCTGACGTTAAACCTGCGTCATACACCAGAAGTATAAACGTAGAAGGATTGGTCGCGTTATCGCGGCGCCTCGCGGTAGTTGTTGCCGGGGGGGGGGGGGGGGGGGGNNTAGCATATACATTTGTATGTGTATGTATTTAATATAGTTTTTTCAGGTATTTGTTTATTTATTCATGTATTTATTGAATTATTTATTTGATTATTTATCTGTTTATTTTTATGGAACATTGAATCTAACATAGTCAGAAATGACGCATTTCGTATAAGACGGCATTACAGTATAATGCGATATAGTTGAATGTAACGGAACAGAGTACGATGCAGTTCTGTATCACAGTTGAGTATAATACAATGCATTGCAATGTAACATGGTATATCACCATACAAAATAGCACAGCCCAGTGATATGTACTTGTAGTTTCAGTAAAACATCCTCTAACATAAGATAAGTCTTGTTAGTATACATATGGTGTAGTGTGATGTCATCTCATTTCATTTGATCATTTGATTGACCTTAACCTCATTGAACTCAACATTACATATATATATATATATCTCTCTCTCTCTTAATATAGTTTCATTCAGCCTGAACAATCTCCTCTGATCTCTTCATAATTTTGACACACACACACACACGTGGGTTGGTTGCTGCTTGGGCTGGAGCAGAGTGAGGTCCGTAAAGTCAGAGGTCCAGCTTTTCTGTTGAGGCGATTTAGGCTTTGGTGTTTGGTGTGTGTGTGTGTGTGTTCGTTCGTGCGGTTGTTCCATGATCTACTGGCTGCGGGGTGTCATACCGGGGACTTGTGAGCGAAGGGCTTTAACTTTCCCAGGGCCTCACTGCCAACCGAAATTGTCGGTTGAAACCTTGAACACCTGGATGCTTCTTCGCATTGTCTTCTCTGTCACCCCAATTTCGGCAACCTTTTAGGGGCCTTTATAATTCAAGCATCTTGGAATACGGTAGAGCTAAATCTTATTCAGGCATGTATAATCAACTTAGACTAGCCTTATCCGTACCTTATCCATATATGAAACAGTGGTCCTTGCGTGATGCTGCAGCAGCACCGTACTTCTGAACCCAAGCATAACTCCTGCATCTCGGCTTGGGCTTGAGGGTTGTCGGTAGGTTTTCGTGTGCAGCCACGGATCTGGGACGTGGTCGTTGCAATCTTTACCTATAGTTTCCATTGTAGTTCCTTTTTTTGCTTTAACCAAATATATATTAATGATTTTATAAGGTATCCCCAAAAAGGAACTACAATGGAGACTATAGGCAACCAACCACCTTCCAGAGGCTACATATGGCGAAGCTGTCATTGTGCTCCTCGACGCGGTCGACTTGCGGCGAACCTTTGCTAGGCAAGTCCTCCACAGCCCGTTCGTAAAGCCCGCATATGGGGGCTGTCCTAAAACCGCTGTCTGTAAGTGTACACAAACCTGAAATCCACCATATCAAATTATGCAAAACCCTCGTGCGTGAAAGGTGCGCGAAAGAGATGTGAAAGGGAACTGCTCAGTGAGTTGTATTGCATGTTTTGTTAGTTTATACATGCACATGCATCATTCGAAGAGCTGTCGTGCAGTATTTAGGAGGGTTCCAGCTAAAGCGATGTCATTACTTCAGGACGCCGTCGTAGGGTCGTTTTGGGTGTTGGTGGGGAAAGGGCTCTGCAAGCCCAAAATTTCTCTAGGACGCTGGCAAGGGCGGCAAGGGCTGGCAAAATAGCACTATGGAAGCCGTCGTCGGGTCGTTTTGGGTTTTGGCGGGTGACAGGGCTTTGCAAAAGCAAAACAGCCCTGGGACACCGTCGTAGGGTTGTTTTGGGTTCTGGTGGGGGAAAAGGATTTGCAACAATAAAACAGCTCTAGGACACCGTTGTAAGGTCGTTTTGGGTACTGGTGGGGGAAAGGGCTCTGCAAAAGCAAAACAGCTTTGGGACACCGTCGTAGGCTTGTTTTGTGTGTGGGAAAAGGCTCTGCAAAAACAAAACAGCTCCAGGACACGGTCGTAGGGTGCTGGTGTGGGAAAGAGCTTTGCAAAAACAAAATAGCTCTAGCACACCGTAGGGTCGTTTTGGGTCTTGGTGGGGAAAGGGTTCCTTAAAAGCAAACCAGCTCTAGGACACCGTCGTAGGGTCGTTTTTGGGTGTTGGTGGGGAGAGGAACGCAAAACAGCTCTAGGACACAGTCGTAGGGTTGTTTTGGGCGTTTGGTGGGGGAAGAGCTGCACAACAAACGTTGTGTTTGCTGAGACTTTGACGACCCTTGGGCAGTTGTAACACTCGCTTTCGCGACCCTTCTAGAACTGTATTGCCTGTTCAAGGGAGCCTTCTAAACCAGTACTCCTTGCCTGCAAACCCTTCTAGAGCTGTATGGCCTGTAGAAAGTACCCAGCTGTATGGCTTGCCTAAGGGATCCTTCGAAACCGCGTGTAGAATCCTTCTAGAGCTGGCAGAACCTTCCTAGACTTGTATTAATGGCCTGGAAAACCCCTCTAGAGCTGTATGGCCTGGTGAAGAAACCCTTCTAAGCCTTAATTCCCTGCTTGTGGCAGGCAGCTTCAGGGACCCTTCTAAGCCTGTTTTCCCTGCTTGCAAAAGAGCTGTGTGGCCTGTAGACAGGAGCCTACTAGGCCCGACTAGAGCTGCATGGCCTGATGGAGGGACACTGCTTTACCTTTTGGGTTGACTATGGTTGACTACATCCCGTTGCTCCGTGTACACCTCTAGTTGGATGTAAGGACCCTTGGGAAACATGCTGGAGCCGTGTATGGTTTGGTATAAGAGTCTCTCTACAGCTTTCAGAGATGCTTCTGTGCCCAAGTCATGTTGACGTGTTCTTGTTTGTTGGGTTCGCGAGAAGGAGCACGGAAGCTACGCGAAAGAGGTGCGGAAGGGGCTGTTTCTGCGAGAAAGACTTTCGGATAACAGCCGTATATATATATATATATACATACATACATACATATACACATAAAAATATCTCTCCGTGTCTCGCTCTCTCTCTCTCTCTCTCTCTCTCTCTCTCCTCTCTCTCTCTCTGTGCAACAGCCAGCCACATTATTTGCAAACATCAAAAACTTAAAGCCTCAAGCACATAGCCGCAGCTAGCCCTACCTTACACACTATAGAACTCATGGCCCATAACTTGATGCCCCGAAATCAGAAACGGTACGTCTTTGTCCTGAAAGCATCTGGACAGTTCACGCGCTTGAGGACTCGGTTGACTTCAAGTTTGCCCTGCGCATGATCTCAAGAACAGCAGAGCCGCTCCAAGGACGGAAGTGGGACCCCGAAAAACACAATCCCTGAACTTCTTGACTAAGGGCTTGGGGTTCAGATTTTGGGCTTTGGGGTGTAAGATTTTGAATGTTGCATTAAGGCATTAAGGTTTATTCTGTTTGAAGGTTTCGGGGGCCGGAGAAGCAAGCAAGTTTACTTGTAGTGTCAGCGGGACTAGTATGTGATGTATAGCCAGCTTACTTGGAGTTATAAGCAATTAAGCTTTCAGTTCTCCTTCTGAGCCCTTGATCTTGTAATTCCTAAACCCTAGACCCTAGACCCCAAATTAATTAGGGAGTATCGCCAGCTTGGGGTTTAGGGTTTAACACTCGGACTAGAAGGCCTGCACAGCCCCGACCCGTCACATGGTCTTCGCACATCTGCAAAGTGCCAGCCCCCTGGCCAGTGAGGTTCATGAAAGCTTCTTAGTCTCCGGCTGGGCTCCAGCAGTTGCCAAACGTGAGTGTGGAGAAGATGATTGCAAGAAGAGACACACCGTCAACCGTGTGAACTGCCTGAGGGCAGTCTTTAGCTCGAAAGGTTGAAAATGCAACTGCCACCCAAAGCGCAACATCCCCATTTCTTCAACCCCCAAACCTGTTCGGTGTTCTGAGGACCTAAGGGAGAGGTTGCTTTGCTCCTGAACGGCGAAGCTCTTCTTCAAAGCGGCGTTCTCAAGCTGAATGGATGCATCCCGGGTCAGATACACTAGCTAGGCCAAGTGTAAGGCGAAGAACACATGGCAACAGGTCAGACGCGACAAGCGCCGGGTAGGTTGTGGGAAGACATTTCAGGGGTCTGGGGGGCGGCAAAAGGGCCGGCATAGTATCTCCGCCCATTTCCGGAGCTCTCGAGCTGAAACCGATGGTCAGAATGTTCAAGCCGCGACAAGTCTTGTGCTTCAGTCTTGTAATAGTCCAAGCTTTCAATCAAGGTCCTTTACCAGGCCTATTGGCCGGAGTCTCTCATCACCCCACCCAGCGAAGAGGCTATGCTGCAGGACCGAATACAGAGTTCCCTTTTCCTTTCCTGCTGCTATCGTTAGCACTGAAGCTGTTTCCATTCGCAGGTACCCAATATTCGCATTATTTTGGGGCAAGAGGAAGCAAGCGATGACCTTGCTTTTGGCCCTGATTCTTCGGCAAGATCCATTTATTGCCTGCGGCTTTGGAGTCGGGGTCCGCGGGTCTCTGCAGACACTGTGGCTGAGTCCCATCAAATGCCCCTAGGACTTAGAGCGCAACAGTCGGATCTCTTGGCCCCACCGCTAAACCCTGAAACTAAAATCCTGTGGCCCCCAGTGAGCTCCTCCAGGCCCTTAGCTTATGGTTTATATCTCACGCTGAAGTCACGGAAGAGCCTGCATTGAACATGTCCCGAGGTGGTGACTCGAGGTGAGCCACAGACTTTGACAGAGTCTTCTTTCTAGATTCTAGTGTCATATGCGACATTGTGACGAACGAGGTTTCACACCAGTCTGGGTCACCCGTCATGTGGCTTTGATCAGGACCTGCGTTCCATCAAGAACAGTGGCTTCAACATGGTGCGGGTTCATGCGGCTGCCACTTGCTACATGACCAGTTCAGCAAGAAGATGTAATGGACGCAGTTCAGTGTTGCGCAGACCACGTCCCGCAGCGCTACATGCAGGCGAACTGAACTCTAAGTATCGCCTTGAAGCCTGCTTCAAGTTGCGCAATTGGAGAAGCAGGAGATGCTGGAAACAGTCGCAAGAGGAGGGCGGAAAGGTGCTGCTGCTGATGCTGCTGGCGATTGTGAATAGGAGGGCGAACAATCACCCGACTGTGATGATGATGGTCGTGATTATGATGTTGCTGTTGTTGATGATATTGCTGATGCTGTTGACGTTAATGTTGATGGTGATAATTGTTGTGGTCGCTAATGGTTAAGATGGCTTTGATGCTTGTGGTACGGATGTGTTTGGTATTCATCTCTATGTGTATTAAAACACTGGACTATGAGATTGGTGGTCGCGGTGGCGGAGGGAAATGGTGCTGGTTGTGAGGCTGAAAATCTTGATCCTGGAGGTGATGCAGGAGTTGATGGTGGTGATGGTGGCCGTGTCGGCTGTGGTGGTGGTGGTATTGTGGTGGTGGTGGTGGTGGTGGTGGTGGTGGTGGTGGTGGTGGTGGTGGTGGTGGGGGTGGGGGTGGGGGTGGGGGTGGGGGTGGGGGCGGGGGTGGGGGTGGGGGTGGTGGTGGTGGTGTTGGTGGTGGTGGTGGTGCTGCTGGCATGGGGGCTTCTGCTGCTTCGGCCGCTGCTGCTGTTGACACTTCGATGATGATAATGATGATGATTCCATATATTCTCAAGGCACTAAACCGTGGTAGAGGGATTAGGAGGACACAGATAGGAAATAGTCCTAACAAAATCAAAGCCTCAACCCTAAATGATGACCTCGCGTGGCTTGCCTAGAGTGGGTGGAACAAAAATGGATAATGATGATGATGATGATCAGGGTCATGATTTGATATGATGGTCAATGCTTTTTTTCTGCCCCTCAATTTTCGCTCTCGGACAGATGCTGTATCTGGCAAGGTCCTCCCTGCCATGTTCTACCACTTCTGCGATTTGGAGGCGTTGGGGTGCACACTCCTTTTTGCCGTAATCGTCCTGCACCCAGAACCCCGAGGCTTAGTTAGACAGGCCATTGCGATATTCACTATGTTCCTTCATTAGGCCTAAGGCGATTCTGTTTTGAAGTCTCCAGCGTGCTAACTATTTAGCAGTAGTGCTCCAAGTCCCTACTTAACTATATGACTGTGCACCCCGAAGCTCTATTCTCATCTTCAAGGCCTCTGATTTTAGGCTTTTAGATGCAGATCTTCTTTAAAAAAGCGGATATAGATTCTGCGAAAACCCTTATCCCTTAACCCGCCTTCCTTTTGTACAGCAGGGGGCCGACCTCGGAGGATGCGCTTACTGAGACCGTACGCAATCTTATGTCCAAGCGGATCGGCCATATGAGCGCTACACCGGTTGGCTACAAGTCGCGGAGAAACTCTCAGACGAAAGCTACCCTCCAGAACCAAACCTGGTCTAAGCGATGACTTTCTATTCCTATTCAGCTGTCTAGCATCCGGTGGAGATCCTGTCTACATGGGAGTTTCAGAAAATTAGGGGTACCTTATTTTGGGGTCCTCATAATAGGGATCCTATTATTTAGGGTACTATATTAGGGTCCACTATTTTCGGAAACCCCCACATGCTTCCTTGTACTGGAAGTCTTCTGGCCACAGGGCCAAAGGCTTTTTCGCTGACCTTGCAAGAGGATAATGTAGGGGCCTAAATAATTCTTAGACTAGGGTTTGGGGTATATGATTCAGATACTACAAGAGGATAATGTAGGGGCCTAAAAAATTATTAGGCTAGGGTTTGGGGTATATGATTCAGATACTATAGCTATACTATTGAACCCCCAAAACCCTATTCTAATTATTAAGGCCCCTACATTGGGCGATATTGAGATCCCCTGCCAGGCTCCTGGTTCTGGGATGTTCTGGGCTTTCGGGTTGCAAGGGGGCTCAATATTACCCCTATGCCCCAGGCCCTAAACCCTTTTGTTCATTTGCCTCCTAGGTTTAGGGTTTTTGAGGATTTTGGGTTATAAGCCCTATAAGCCCTAAATAACCTCAAAGCCCTCATCCCAAATCCAGGGCCTGCTCGTCTGGCAGGCCAGCAGGGGCGCAGCTTTGGGGCTGAGAGGCGGTTTGGGCTTGAGCCCAGGGCTTTGGGTTTAGGGGGTTTTGGCGGCGATTGCACAAGTCCTGATGCAGAAAAGGAGGATTTTGGCTTAGGCTTCGGGGTTTTGGTTCAGGGATTTGGTTTAGGGTTCAGCTTTGTAGCCTTGTCAAGTGTGAGGCGCATGCTTCCGTTGAGGATGTTGGTAAGTAACCTTTTACACAGCCCCATCTTTGGTGTTCCAAACGGACCCAAATCCTCGATGCTCTTTCGTTGGAAGCATCAAAGGACAGATGTAAGATCGGTTCCTTATGCCAAAGTGGCATGGTGTGGTCTTTTCACTCCAGCCTAGATCTGAACTCTAATCAAGAGACACCTGCTTGACACAACTAAATTATGGGGCATAAACCACTAAAACCTCAGGTCGTATCACTGACATGATTCATTGACCCTAAGCTCTGACAGCTACCACAAAGAGACGACCAACTTGCAACTTGCTTTCGACTCGAAGGAAGCCCAGATGTTTACATAAAGAAGTAGCTGGCACACTATAGAAACAGCTCATATGTCCTTGCAAGGCCGCACATCACCGCAAAAAGGCTCCTTATAAGGCTCAGCAGCACAGGTCTGCACATCCGAAGCTTACAGAACCCTCCCCCCAACCCTCCCACTGTTCAGGGTTTGATGGGTCAAGCAGTCAGGGTTTAGGCCAGCTCCCATCAGGACTTTCCGGCTGGCGATGGCCGCGCGCTGCCGATCTGGGATGCAGCACGTGGGACTCTGGAACAGCCACTACGCCGGCACGAAAGAGTTTGTGTACTTACTTACCTGATTGAGGGATTTGGTGTGAGGGCTGGCGACGTCAGTTTGCACGGGTTCGAATAATTGTCGAGGGGGGATGAGCAGAGAAACAAGTCCAAAGCCAGAGCTTGTATTATCGTTTTAAAATCTTCAGGGGCAGCACACAAACACAATTAGTAAGCTTGAAATGTTCCAGAAGGCCATCCGTCCTAAACCCAGAAGACTACGACAAACGGAAGACCCAAGGCATGGAACAGTTTGGTTTGAGCTAGCCAGAGCAATTTTGTTCGTTGCAAGTTGTTCCGGCTAGGGGTTTTGGATTTAGGGCACAGGATCTTAAGGCTTACCTGGACCCTAAAGA